CTCATCCTTGAAGTCCCGTGTGCTGCATGTGTCTCTCTGTATCTGCAGAGAGGTATTAATGGTTGTATATTAGGCACTGTTTTTCTCCTTCATTATTTCTCTGGCCACATAGCTAAAGTATGAAGTAATAAAAGGTAAATGCATTGTGAGATGCGCCATCTCCAATTAAATGTTGCTCTTTATTGGAATATATTCTATAGCAGCTGGGGTAGGTACATTATAAAACAGACTTTCACACTGAGATGTGTCCAGAGACATAAATACTTACTTTTGAAATTTTATATATGTGTGTTAGTTTAAATAGTTTCTGTTGTGAAGGAGCAGCTTTTAAACATGCTACGCTTATTTTCTTTCTAGTTGATTCTTTAATGATGCAGACTGCTGGCAGAGACTCAGTCACAACCTTGATATCTGTGTGATCGTTGTAAACAATTCCTCTTTCCATTCTTCAAGTTTTCTCAATCATCCTACTTATTGTCCCCAACCTATTATATGCCACGGATGACTTTTTCCATTTAATTTTAGTGTAGAAAAGTAACAGGAGTTTTTCAAGCGCTGGGTAAATCTGACTAAGTAATTAAATGCTACAGGAGCTGTTGATTGGCACATAAAGCTACAATGTGATAAACTGATATGAGTTACAATACTGTGCATCTTTACTTCCTTGAAAGAGTGCATAATGAGACCTGATTTAAATAAGTTCTGTTTTTAAGAAACATCCCATGTGTTTCCTTTGAAATTAGCTTTGCCTTCATCTGTTGGAACTATTAAGCCAATCTGCTCCTTGAATTATTCTATACAAGCCTGTACATTTCAAAAGAGAAATGAAGAGGCTGTAAATCAACAGTGCATAATTTTGGAAACCCACTTCCTGTGCTCAAAAAATAATTTTAAGATGCAATTGAAGGAAATACATTCTTACAGGATACACTAAACAGTGTAACAATTCATGAACAGCAAAAGTTTTTCTAGCTTTCTAGTTTTTCAAGAGTGGAACAGGCTTCAGCTACAAAGCATTCCCAACAGAAATTTTGGAAGACCTTGATTTAAACAAATTACTTGTTTATAAATTCAGACAGTAAGTTAATATGTTAGCTTGTAAGAAGAGTTAATTTTTAGATTAGAAATAATAAGTATTTCTAATGAAGAAAATGCAAATAGGGTTACATTATCTTGATACAACAGAATAAATGGTATATTATTTCCAAAGTTATAATGGGAAAAAACATATGGTTCACAGTTACTGAAAGAGGAACAAATCAAAATGGACTGTAAATAATTGGCTAATAGTTGTAAATCAGGGAGCTAACACTTCTTTGTTCTCTTCCCTGAGAGAAAGATTCTGTTAGTGGGGTTCTGCGTTACTCTGCCATAGTGAAGTAGTTTGAAGGATGTCCCTCACACCTCCAAAATGAATGCTGCGATGCTGTTCATAGTAGTTGCTTTGTGTGATGCTGCATAAAACACTTCAAGAGTGTAGTTTTGTGAGCCCCTGTCCATCTACCAGTGGAAGAATTCTTTCAGGTCTCAAAGGAGGATTTTATAATTATTCTTGGCTAGTATTATTCAAGGTCAGCTCTGAAAACTGATTGTGTTAACACTGCATCAGCACACCATTAGGTTTCCAGGTTCTTCCCCTCTTCTTTTATAAGAATCAAGAGTGTCTGAAATTAGTGTTGGTTTCACCATGAATCTTTAAAAATCCATGTCCTGGTTTATGTAGGAAATAAGAATGAATTTGCAAATGCAGTAAAACTGTTGGAATCATAGACGGATTTGGTAGTTTGTCACCTGTCAGATTACTGAGGGAAGTGAAGCTTGCATTTTAGACCTTTATCTAAAGTATACAGTAACTGTACAATTTAGATTTGTAGTATGAAATATGGTTGTATGAATTACTGCCAAAGTTGCATACAGCCCTTTTGGTGTATGACCAATATAGCTTTAAAATACCATTGTACTTTTATAAACATAAAGGACCTTCACGTGGGAAAAAACAATTGCGCTATCTATATGCTCAGTGTTAACATTTTCATTTTGTGTTCGCATCTGTATAATAAACAGGACTCAAAAAATAATTGCATAGTAGCGTTTGGGGAGGTATCTTTTGCAAAACTAAATAAAACACCAAAATACGTGATTGAGCTTTTTGTTACATAAAAATCTTTAATATGATAATCAGATTCAGTATTGCAGCTTTTTTGTTCCTTTTGGGATTTTTATGACTTATTTTTACTCTATAGTGTTCTTGTAGGTGTGATTTTTTTTTTTTCCCCAACAAAATCTTTCTTCAGTCCACTCAAAACAGATGATATTTGAGCTCGAGATTAGTTTTATAAGTGGATTTCTTTTTCATTCTGCTGCTGAGAGGTTTGCCTGAAAGGACAAGAGGTTATTATTGATATATTTGGTTCTCCTTGCATCATGTATTCTCATTGCTGTTCTTGTTTACTGGCAGAAAGAGACAAACAGAGAGATATTCTCTGATCGACTATTGCTAAGAAACAAGGAATAAAGTTATGCGAGTCTGAGTGGCTGTTCCAAAAATTATTTTTGCATCTGTGGCATAAGAAAAAAATGTGTTAACCGTAATGTAAGAAGTCTGTGGTGTGCTCAAGATACTCTTCTTTACTACTAAATTATTTCAATACTATTATTTCATGTGCAAGATTTCTTTTATGCTAAAAGATTTCTTTGTCGAGATATATTAATAGGGAATGCCATGGATGACTTAGAGTTGAGGAGCTATATGGGCCAAAGTGTTGAAATTTTTGTGTTGTCAACCTCAATTTGAAAAACTTCAGTGGCAGGGATGGTGGAGGGGGACAGAGAATCAAAGCCAAGGTCTCTTAGGTCAACCTTGATTGAAGTTTTATTGAGGGCTATCAGGAGAAATTGATGAACACACTATGTGAAGGTAAACAGGAGACACAGCAAAAAAGATCCATCTCTAGATTATTTCTAACTGCCAAAATTTCTTAGTAGGCTCAGAACCTATCATGGCCTGCTTTTTCTTGTATGCTTTGGAAATATTTGGGAAAATGCATGGAGGAAAAAAAAGAAATTCTAGAAAGATTTCCTACTTCACACTGAAGTAAATTAATCGCCCCTCTGTTTCTGAAAAAATCTTTGAAAGTAAAAGTTAAGATTCTATGTTAATGACACATCCACAAAGGCTCTACTAACCCAAAGTTTTTTACACGGGTAATTATCGAGCCTTAATTGCACAGTAGTGACAACGGCTTCCTGTCTTCCTTCCTTCCTGAAATAAATTCCTGCTTAGAGAGTGTTATCATGATTTGTAAAATATGGTTGATTTTGAAGAGTCTTATTCTAATGTGTTTTATGTGAAATTAAAATATTGATACATACTGTGCTGATTTGAAGGGATTATTTAGGAATGTTGCTTTTATAATACTTCAGTTTCTGTTAAATGAAGTATTTTTTTTACAAAGTAGGGCTTGGTTTTTAAATTACAGTTTTTGTTTCTTAATAAACACAGTATATACTGAATCCTACAAAGAATAGGGCTTGTTCTTCTTATTGTTGTTATTGCTATACAAAAGCACGTAGCAATTACACTCTTCTGAAAGTTGACTTTTATAAAGGCAATAGTTAATGGTTACTGAAGATAAGACTGTATGATGCAAGTTCCTAAATGTAATGGAGGTTAGTGTATTTTTCAGTGATTAGTTTTTGTTGGGTTTGGGGTTTTTTATTTGATTTGGAGCAGAATTAGAGTGCGAAGAAATGGAAGGATTTGGGAAGATGAGGAGGATAAAGGAATAAAGTGGGGGGGAAATAACATCTTGCCTCCTGCTACACTAAGATCAACAGGTAGGTGTTTTTTCTGTTTGTGACATCAAGAGACTTACTGATGAGAAGGATGAGGTAGCATTTGAGTTTTTCACAATTTTCTGTAGTGGAAAGCACTCGATTTGTTATGTAATGTTGTGAACACTGACTAATTGCTTTTCTTGTGCTGGAATTGGGCCTGAGCAGATTCTGTTGGCAAAATAAGCATTGATTTTCTTATTAGAGCTAAAACACATATTGGAAAAATTAAGCATAGCAGTTGAATAAAATTTAAAATATCTTCTTTTGTGTGTCTATTGGTAGAAAGTAATACAAATAAAACATGCAAAGCAGTTTCCTTCTAGGTGGGACAGATTTATACTTAAAAAATTGAATGGAAGTAAATGCTTTATAAGAAACATTACTGCTGACTACTTAAAAAGGCTTTTTTTAAAAAAAGGGTGGTTTCACGTAACCCTATAAAAAAAGTCATAATTGCTGGAGAACAAAATATCCTGAAATTCATTTCCATTAACATGAAAACATCCTAAAGAAAAATTGACTTCATTTTTTCTGTATATAAGCCTCAGTTGTTTCTGCATAATAAGGCTCAAAATATTTTTGGTTAATTTGAAGAATGTTTTTTCAGAATGTGTTCTCATCATAAAAGTTCTGGTTGCATATCTTCTAAGTTTTAAAAATATTAATAAATAGATACAAATAAGAGGTAGCATTTTCTAAGGAATGTAAAGTACTTTTGCAATTCTTTTTAGCAGTTGTGAAATTATCTTTTGAAGTTTCAGTAGATGCAATTTTCTGTTATTCCAGTTACTAAAAAAAAAAAAAAAAATCTGTTGTAGTAATCTACTGTATATTGGCATTCCTTTTAATAGCAATAAAATATTTGATTTTACTTTTTTTAGAAGTTTAATGTGGTAGTTTCAGTTTCTGTTAAGTCTTTTTAAAACATCATCATCTTTCTTGTCAAGTCAATTCTATAAAGATTATTCTTCTGGCCTTAATTAATTTTTTGCCATTTCTGTTTTGTGAAATTTACATTTTGTCTTGCAGCCTCAATGACATGTTGGCTATTACTCACTCATTAGACAGGTCTGGTCAGAGAGGTGAAAACAGAGAAAATGGTGTAGTATCTGTTGTTCACAAGATCAAGTTGCAAATGGCTTTCTTCTTTCCTTTCCCAAAAGGCACTGAGGCGTGAACTGAAGGATAAAGAGCAAACCATTCTCAATGCTGTGGACCAGGCACGAGTTTTCCTTGCTGACCAACCAATTGAGGGGCCTGAGGAACCAAGAAGGAGCTTGCATTCAAAAACAGGTCAGAAAATACTCTCTTCCAGGAATGGTTAAAAGGAAATAAAAAGGACTTACATGTCTCTAGTACGTATTTTATATCCCAATTACTTGATTAGACTTCAGAATTTTCAAACCACATCCTAATTGCTTTTATTGCAATGATTTAACCTTAAAGTATTACTACTCTGTTTTCTAAGTACTCATGTTTCAATGCAAGAAATAAAAACATCTATTTCCTTATCCAATTTTTTATTCAAAACACTGAAGTCACCAGTTCTTTTTTCTTAACATGGTAACATATGCACCTTAAATGTAGTCAGAATAGTAATTCAAGGATACACGTACAAATGTCTATATGTCATTACTGCAAAGTTTTACTCCACAAATAGGAATAAATGTATTTGGTGGTGCATCTCATCAGAGTAAAAGGAATCAGCTTTAGGAATGCAGTCATTACAGAATCTTAAAGATTTGAATGTTAGATGAATTATCACTAAGGAATAAACCACAGCTGTCCTAGAAAGGATATTTGCATAGTATTTGTTGAGATATTTGTCTACATCAGAGACCAACAAGGAGGTAATAATTTTCCTCCACCCCACCCCCCATAACAGCAAAATAGAAAAATATACCAAGTATCCATGTAATTAAGTCCTAGAATTATGTTTCTGATATAAGCTACAACATTATGAAATCTTACTTTTAATTACATAAAAATTGTTCCTGGAAAAGGTAGTAGTCTGCTTTTATGGAAACATCAGTTGCTGTAAGATGTGAATAATTTACGGTTCCGTGTAATTTAAAAAATTACAGTATAGCCACTTGTATCAGGAGTTAGTTTTTTCTTCCCATATGTCTTCCTATACATCTCCATAACAAACATTTCAAGTTTATTCAGTGGAAGCAAATAATCTTTCCTGAATCCATACTTTGTGTTATTCCTGTGCAAATTTTTATGTGGTTTCCCATCCCCTAATTCAATTTAGTGATAAAGTTTGAATAGCTGGTGGTTAAAGCCAATGAACCAGTTTTCCGTGTGATTAGTTCTGGTACCTTAACTGCTGTCGTGTATCTCACTGCTTCCTTTTTTGAACGCTTGACTTCTGAAAACATTCTGTTTGTCTTTACTCTCAAACTTATTTGATATATTGCATCTGTAATGTTTTAGTCGATCTAAATCACAAGCAAGCTTGCAGTTGAAAAATAAGGAATACTCTCTTTATATTTGCTTATTCTTTCACCCAAAAGTTGAAGTCACAGACTCTACTCTCAAAAGCGATAGAACCATCCAGCACAAATGATGCCAATGCATAAACTGTCACCAGTGTACAATGTTCATTTTCTAGCAGGGTTGATATCAGTGATTTAGCATTGACTGAAAGTGCAAGAGCAAATTTCAGATGATAAGCTGCATCATAAATTATTTTTATGCAATCTATTATTCTTATTATCGTATGGTGCTGTACATATGGCAGTGATAACAGAGTAACAGGGAAATCTGATGACCATGGTAAACTGCATAACAAATAATAGCCAGGCAGATGGTCTGCAAGTGATATATGAGTGTCTGTTGTCTAGTCATCACATTTGAAAACTGATCAAATATGCTTAGACTGGAAGCTTCATAGATGTGCACTGAACTTACTTTCCTTTTGCTTCTTCACACTCTGTAGTTCCATACGCCTTTTCTTTTTTTTGAGCACATGGTGGGTTAGTCTTGGCTACCAGCTGAACTCCCACCCATCCGCTCGCTCACTTCCTTCTTCTCAGTGGGATGGAGGCAGACGACAGGAAGAACAGGAGTGAGAAAACTCATGGGTCAAGACTGGGACAGATGCAGATCCCTTACAAACTACTGCTATGGGCCAAACACATTTAGCTTGGGGAAAATAAACTATTGTCATTTAAAATAAATATTCAATTACTGATTCAGTAGTGGGGAAACAAAAAGACAAACAGTAAAACCACAGCTCATCTCGCCCCCTGTCTTGAGCTCAGCTCAGCTCCTTCATTCCTGTCTCCTTTCCCCCTGGTTATGACTGCAGGTCACACTCCGCCTCCTCAACAAGGCAAGTGGTGTGAGAGGGTGGGAAGATTAGCCTAGCAGTTTCAGTCCACTGCTCCTTTCTTCTCACATCTTTCCTCTGCCCCAGCATGGTCTTTCCATGAGGGATATCTGCCCCACCATGGAGCTCCTCCTCCTCTTCTGACCTTGGTGTTCCCTCTGCTGTTTCTCCTTTTTGTTCCCTCCTCCTCCCTCTCTGGTGTTTTCGTAAATACGCTGTCCCTGAGGTGCCCCCAGCATGGCCTCAGGCCTCGGCTCTGCCCTGTGCTGGGTTTTCTGGAACGAGCTGTCCCCAGCACAGGGCAGCCTCGACCTCTCTTCACAGAGGCCCCTGTGCAGCCCCCACTGCCAGCAGTGGGCACTTTCTGTAGATTAATTGACTTTCAGGCCAAAAGGCATCTTTGAATCATCTGCTCTGATCTCTTATATATCATAAGCTGTTGAATTTCACCCAGGACTGAGTCCAGTAAATTTTTTCTGACAAGTAATGCCATCTATCTCCAGAAAGCTGCGGCTGTGGATTTGAAGACATCCAGACACATGCAGTTTTTCTTCTGATTAACCATTTTCAGTGAAGGCTTGTGAGTGTGGGTTTATGTTTGCTTTTTAATTGTTTATTTTTTTATTTTCTGTCAGCTTCTTGATCACTGGTATTCTCTGCAGTAGGTTAGGGTTAACTCGTTCACTGAAGTCCACTTCGTGTTGCTAAAGGGGAAGGAGTATGGTTTTGGATTGTAAGCTGACGGTCTGTCTTTAAAAAAATATTGATGAGCACTGTGCAGTCATGAATGGAACATGTTTTTGGCTGCTTCTATAATACAAATAGCAAAAACTTTGGAACCCCCCCCCCCCCCAATCTTTTCATGCTGGGGAAGGTATTGTTGCAAGGACAAAGAATGAACGAGATTTAGGACAAAACAGATAAGAATCAGTTTTCAACTTGACTGACCAAGACCTATTTTAAGGACCTATGCATACTTACATTCATCATTCCACCCAAAGAGCATATTTGTTATAGGATGCTTTATGATACCTCTTATTGTATATAATGTACTTGTTAATTTCAAATATAACACAACAATGTAAAATCCAGTTATGAGCAAGCCTTGGTGTTGTCTTTACTGTGTGAGCCTTATGCTTTCTGTGTTGGTCTTCTACTGTACCATGTAGTAACTGGCATGCTCAAACACACTTCCAGGAAACTTCATTCTAAGTTAATTTTTTCTCCCATCTGTCTTGTCTTCTGATATTGTTTTGCCACTTTCCCATAGGGAGGCCTCATCACGAAAAAGCAAGCTTCACATACTTCTTGCCTTTGAGCTCCTTAAGCATCTGAGTGGAGCTGCTTATTAAACCAGCAGGTCAGCTGCTGTATTTTATAAATGGACAGGATTAGGAAATTGGAAATGCTCACATTTTTAGCTTTGTTGTCACTTGTCCATGGTATGGGAGAAAACTTAGATCTAAAAATGTTGATTATAATTCTCTATGGCAAAGTGACATTTGGCTTCTTAGATCCCCGTACTGTTCATAAGGCCATGGGAAAGACAAAGGAAAGCAGAAATACTATCTTCTGTCCTCAGGGTTCTATGAACCAGTGATACGGCTTTGCTGAAATTCTGTCCTTAAAATTCCACTGATACAGTGAGGGAGTGGAGATAATTTTTGTAGAAGGTAACATAAACTAACATCCTTGCAGATTACCGCAGGCCACTACGCTGATTCTCCCTGCAATAGTGAATGTTTCCAGGAGTCTGCAGTACTGTTGAAGTACTTCAGTAGCTTCTAGTTTTCATATGGCAGATTCCTAGCTTTGAAAGCTGTTATTTGGTAGCAAAGGTTGTTGTGATAAACACATACTTTAAAATTAAGTATTGACTATCTGCTATCTCCTCTTAATTGAAAGTGTAGAAAACGGCATACATCACATCTATGTTATAAGAGAAATACATTAATAGATATCAGCGAATTACATGCATGTACTTTATTTAAACTTGTAGGCACACTACATATGCACCTGTTTCACACATAAATAGAAGTCAGATTTCTTTGCTTCCTACCACTGAACCCATTCAGATAAACTCTTTGCCATAATTTTTCCTCTTAGCAAAGAATATCTCACTGGAAATAGGCAATTTACTGTTTTCTAAAGTACATAGCAGGCAGCATTTCTATTGCCAACCACTTGTGCCTGTCCACTAGCTATCACACACCACTGGAATAGCTTTTTGTTCTTGGCTATGCAGCTGGGCTGAATATGAAGTCTGTGTGTGAAAATTAGAAGTGTTTAGGAGAATTAGGAGGCTGTGACCCACTGGAGTTCAGTGGAATTGCGCCCCGAAGCTGCTTACACTATTTTGAAAATTGACGTTCATTCACTTGTGACTTTTGAGAGTTTCGTCATAAGAGTAGAGAAATATGCAGTTACCCATGAGAGAATTTCAAGATAAGCATCACTCTCCTTTTCAGACAGATTTCTTAGTCACCCTACAAGCTTAGTCTAGCTGGGTAAAGCTTTGAATTTCTTCCTGTAGAGTCTACATGTTGCCTGCTTAGAATTATGTTAGTAAAGTTCAAGGAAGTTATTTCTGTTTGCTGGCTGGTGTGGAGTGCAAACTTATAGGAGTTTCAAGCCTGAATTTTAACAGCTGAGTGTTGGAAACAGGCTGGCCTGAGGCTATAGTGGTTTTTATTACTGTTTTTTTTAACCATGAAGATGTCCGGGATATAAGCAGAGTTATATTTACTCTTGACCCGTATGCTATGTTATGGCCTGGTTTTAGCTGAAACAGGATGGTTTCCAGGTGGAAACCATGTTCTTAAAGTTGAACTGTTGCCTTGTTTTAAAGATTCCAGAAACCAGTAAAACTTTGTCTGTAAGAGAATTCTCAGCTATGCTACTAGAAATGCAGATGACTGATGGATGTTAAAGGTTAAAACTTTGTTAGAAAGAAAAC